AGCTTATTTAGAAAAACGTTTGGAGCATTTTTTATTCGTTAAAAATAATATTTTTTTTAACGAACAGCGCCCAGCGGAAGACCATCATTGTCTGTTTGATCAGTTTGCCTTCTCAGATCATCACGACTTGCCTAAAATAAAAGATATAAAACAGTTCAAGTATAAAACAATGGTAGCTTAAACGTTAAAGAATGTGTGCTATTAGGCGCAAAGTTTGCTTATAAAAAGCTTGCAGTACATCGAGGCGCCAGAGCAATCACTTGCATTTTTTCAGTGGGAGCAATTTAAAGTTATCCGTCATTTTTGCTCACAAAGTACGAGTAATACATCAAAAAACATTACAGCGTTTTTATAAAATAAAGAAAACCAAAATTATGCGCTTTCTGTCGTCTGGTTTTTGAACAGGAGCGCTTAACAAAATGAAGCAAAATGTATATGCCTCACAGACATAATAAATATATTTATAGAAAGCTTTAAATTATTACTTAACGAAATAAAACAAATCGAAAACAAAAAAACTCCTTCATGTAATCCGTAAAGATGAATTTCTCTCTAAAGGCGAGTCCAAGAGGAGATTGCAAGTCAGGATCTTTGCGACACTGACTCAGAATAAGTTTATTAATTAATAATTAATGATTTTTAAATATTAAAGCAAAGAGACTTATAAGATTGATGTGCTTATAACGTGCTTATACTGACACCTACTGGCACATGTCACAAGATCACTGACACTGGCATGTGTCACTGACATTACTGGCATGTGTCTAAAAAGAGCCACTTGACAATAATGATAATCAGGGTTACACATAGGCTGTTAATATATTTGGGCCCAGGGGCCCACAAGTTATGTGTTTAAAGTGCGTTGCATACATAGTACCCCCACCCCTACTCACCTCAGGGGCAAGGAAAAAAAGTTCAGGCTCAGGATTTTTTTCCACTATCAGCCCTGCATAAATACACACAACGAGGAGTAGGGGTGAGAGGATTTAGAGTTAGGATTGGGCCAAAAAGTACATTTCTAAGAAACAAAAATTAGTACAGAAAACCAAGGATTTTTATTTGTTAGTTAGAAAAAAAAAATATCCTTTTTTTTTTAAGTGTTTGAAATAAAATGTAAATTATTTAGTGCTTTAAATATTTATTACTAAATAATACATTATTTAATACTTAGTTAATTAAATACTTAATACTTTAAGCCAATAGACTTAACCTTACTTTAACAATATTTGAAAGCTAAAAGCTAATGGTTTAAAGCATAAGTCTCAAACTCAATTACTGGAGGGCCACAGCTCTGCGTAGTTTAGCTTCAACCACCTCTAACTCCCACCTGCTTAATAGTCTCTAGACTTGAACCACTTGATTAGTTGGATGAGCTGTTTGAGATTAAGGTTGAAGCTGAACTATGCTTTGGCCCTCCAGGAATCGAGTTTGAGACCTATGCCTTAAAACATTAGCTTGTAGCCTTCAAATATTGTTAAAGTAAGCACTGCATTTAAATGTCATATGAAAAAAAAGTTGCACAACCGATGTATGCTATAATAGTATTGTACAAAGTCTTGTCCTGTGACACTTTTTTAAAAGATTGTAAGTATAGACTTTGTTCTAAATTACTAGCACTGATGACACTAGAACTGAATCTAAACCACAATTCAATTTCAATTTGGATTGCATGTTCACTAGAGTTGAATATGGCTTTTATATTCTTGATTTTTTTTTTTCAGAATAAAGCCAAACATTTTCTTATTAGGTTTAACTCTTTATAACAATTCAGGTTTCTAAAATGAATGAACAATCTTTGTTTTTCAACCAATGTTTAGTTTGAGACTCCCAATTCTGCATCTGTCGAGTTACATAAAGACTTTTGTCGCAACTTTATTTAAAGCACTTCCAATTGATCAAGTTTCCATTGTAAAACATTGCAAAACAGTCCTCCATTGCCTTAGCGCTATGGAACTGTGGTGCCCGTCAGTGGCCTTTCTGAGAGTGGAGGTGGTGTTAGCAGCGTCTTTGGAGCGCAGGATTGAGTGACAGGAGCAGCCACTGCTGGGGAGAGAAGGAGAAGTGTGGATAACGTGGGCAGAGACGCAGTCATTAGTCACGGCAAGTACGAGTTTGGATACATGAGCATGCCAACAGAGGTGACAGGGCCAACGGTGGTAATGGATGCCTTTCCGCTCTGCGCCCTATCCACACCTATCCCAGCATCCTCCTCTCTCTCTCTTTCTCTCTCACTGACACAAGAAGACTGCATCACGCCTGCAAACCCATGAGTGAAATCTTAAACTGCTTTGCTGATCTATCATCTCAGGAAAGGGAAGAAAAGGAGAGCGCTTTGGGGAAAGGGAAATAAGACCGGAGGATACTAGGAACGTTACGCTCAGCATCGTATGCAGCCGTTATTGTCTTTCTCTCTCATCTCTCTTTCTTTCCTTCTCTCTCTTATCGATTTTATTGTTCTGCCTTCTGCCTTGAGATTTCCATGCCCTTTCTATCTGTTGATGGTAGTTGTAAACTGTCCACAAATGCACCCTAGTCCTTTTTTCCTGCCTCAGTCTCTGTCAGAGATAGTGAGTTTAAGAAGTGCAGTGCGCTAGTTTGCTTTGGCACGGGACGTGTTGCTTCAGTAATCTGCGAAGTGGAATTGCCAAGAATATCTGCCAATGTCTGTCTTAGCAGTACAACAGGTTCAGATTTATAAACATGCTCATTTCTGTTTTACCGTTAATTTCTAATCTTTTCAGAAATTGGCCCATTAGGTTTTCTAATACATAATTCATGACTTCATCAGTCAGGCTTGCGTCAGGTGCTAATTTTCAAAATATAGCTCAAAATTCGCACAAAAGAGTATCCACATAAAGCACAGATGGTTATAATAACTACTCGTATAACTATTGAGCAAAAATGGCTTATTATTAAAATCGCTTATTTGAATTTTTTAAATGTTTCGTCAAAAAATCTTGATGGCTTCTGTTGAAAAGCAGGGTGGATTTTTAGATTCAGCATTAACTCAGAGCAGCAGAATTGATACATTTGCTTAGAGCAATTAAATTATACATGGTTTTCACTGAATATATATAAAAAGTGCTCTAAACAATAGCTGTCACCCGAAATGTATCATGAGAACAATTATGGTATAAAGAAATGTGTAAACTGTCATTCCTTGCTGCTGACCCTGAAATTGTGACAACTAGCTGACACTGTTCTGAATCCTTTAAATAACCCTTGACACATGTTTGGTTATGGAAAAGGCTATAGTGTTCAAATTTGTTATTGTTATATTGTATTATTATAATGTTCAAATCATTGACAATTTTCTAAGTGTAACAAAATTGCAACACTGGCCATTAGAACTGAAATAGTTTCAATTAGTTGAGTATTCAGTCCATTTCTGTAATCTTTTTTCTTTTCTCTATCATTTTCATTTTTATTTATATACACAATACAGATTTTTATGTATATAACACGATGCAGATTTTAAAAAAAAGTATTCAACACGTCACCATTTCTCTCAGAAAACATGTTACTACAGGTTCTGTTGACTTTGAGATTTTCACCAGATGTTGATAACAACCAAAGAAATTCATATATGTTAAGAAACAATATTAATTACTTTACAACTTAAGTTATGTGAAGTAAAATAAAATAACACAGGGAAAAAGTATTGAACACATGAAGAAATGGAGGTGTAGAAAGGCAGTGAAAGCCCAAACAGTAGCTGAAATCTCTCAGTAGTTATTCAGCAATGTAAATTAATATCAGCTGCTTCAGTCCAATATCTAGATTATCAGGATGATGAAGATGAAACCAGAGTGGAAATTTAAGGAAGACGATGATCCAAAACACAGCCAAGGAAACTTTCAAATGCTTTCAGAGAAAGAAAATCAAGCTGTAGAATGGCCCAGCCAATCACCTGACCTGAATCCAATAGAAAATAAAAAACAGAACAGATTTGATAGATGAGACCCACAGAACCATCAAAATTACTACACTCTGTTGAAGTCTGTGAAAAACAAAACAAAACTGAGCAATTCTTGTGACTTCATTCTTCACATGAGAGGTGTCTTTAAGCTGCCAGCTTTTTGTATAAGGTATTAAACATATTTTAATAGTCCAGTACTTTTTCCTTGTTGTTCCACTGATACTACACACACAATTTTTCAGAATTGTTTGTTTTGTTATTTTTTTTTGTATTGTTTGGGTTTTTACCAAAATCTTGTTTAATTTCATGTCAAAATGTCCTTTTGAATATTTTTCCCAGAAAAAAATGCCACGTTGAATACCCCCCCCCCCCCCCCAATTATAAATGTAAAATCAGCTAGAATATGATTTAAATAATCAAATAATGAATTGTCTTCAAGACTGAATCCTTAATGTTTGAAGTGTGTTATTTCAGATGGGTCTGTGTGCTGAATTGTTTTGCGTTCTAAATTTCTCTTTTAGTATCAAAATTAAACTAATAATTCAAATAAAATTGTGCCTTTATCAGAAATAAATGTTAAACCTTTAATGGCTTCTACAGACATGTTACAATACTAAAATAATATTTTGTATAAAAAAAGGCTTGGATATTTAGGGGTTAAAGACACACTTTGCATTCCTTTCACCTTTATTCCTTTCAGATATTTAAGACATTGAAGTATTATCAGTCTTTGTGTTTTTGTCATTTTCATCTCCTTTCGCTCTTCTTTATGTCATAAGATGCTGGAAGGATGTATCTGTTTGATGGATTCACGAGTAGACACTGACTTCCTGCGGTTTCATTTATTTGCAGTTACAAAAAGAACAGGTGTTAGGCATGGTTTGATTCATCATTTGAAACCAAAGGATGCAAGATTGCTCGTCTCTGCTACGTTTATAGCCTGAATCTCCAGTAATATTTTCTTTTGAACAGAAATATGTAGAATTCACTATATGAATTGTTTGTTTTTTTTTTGTCAGTTACAATGATGCTCATAAAGTAAGTTTAAATATGTTCTCTTGAATGTTCTTTGCATTTTCAGGAGGATATGAATCTTAATGAGGAGAAGAAAGCACCACTAAGAGAGAAGGACTTAAACACGAAAAGAGAGATGGTTCTTCAGTACGTCGTCACAGCTGCAAAAACCGTAAGTCAAAGAATGATTACAGACATATAACCTAAAACCCAGACAGGTTGAACAGTGAATGTTTGATTGCTTTCCTGACTATCCATAATGGATTTCCAGCTCTAACTCAGATGCTGAATAAGACAGACACGCTGTTTTGACCTAAAGAGCATGAGGGCAGACAACTCCAATCAGTTCTTCTGAACTTGTGTCAGACGTGGCAGGATCTTTTGCAGAACCACCACAGTGACACCGTGTGTCTGTGTTCAACTGTTGTCGTATGCTGACTTTGTGCAAGTCTGTTATTGTACTGGTGGGTTCGCCCTGATAAAAATATCTGTAACTGCAGGCCTTATATGAGGACATTGACAGACTAAAGACTGTATTTATCGCAGATGATTGCCCTCATTTTAGGAAGTCTCTTTTGTTCTCTTGTCCTGAGGTGAGAGGAAGGCGTTGAGTCTCCTCGTGTATACTTATGAACTCATATTGCTGTAGTAGAAGATGGCAAGATGTGATTTTGCATAATCTCCCAGCATTTTGCTTTTCTCCAAATAATCCATATTTGTTATGCTAGAGTTCTAAGTGAAGATGAAATCATTTAGAGAAGTAAAGAGGTGTAATGGTTGCACCAAAGTGGTGACTGAATGCTTATTTTGCAGTGAATTAAACCATTAATATTCAATGCAAGTTTATTTAAATAGAGCTTTTCACAATATTTATTGTTTCAAAGCAGCTTTACAAAATATGCACATTATTAAAAATAAATTATTATTAAAAATGCTATGCTTGAAATTCTCTTTTTGCATTCATATAAAAGTTTGACTTTAGTTATGCCAATACAATTATTCTTTAATTGATACAAATGGTTTGAGAAGGCAATTTTTAATTGGGAATGTCCTGATCAAGTTTTTCAGCCCTCGAGTCCGAGTCATTTGATTATTGAGTATCTACCAATACCGAAACCCGGTTCAATACTTGATGATGCATGACAAAGAATAAAGAAGAGCAAAGAAACAGATCCAGGATGTTTTTTAATTTTTGATTAATTCACCTTATTTTAACATTCTGAAATTTTAACAAACAGAGCACTTCTGTGAGGTAGCTTAAACAATTAAGTGATAAATAGTATCAATTCTTCACGTTACTTAAGTGCAACAGTAAATATATAAAAAAAATATTATAAAGACAAATAGCACCTTAACTTAAAATACTTGGCAGGCAATCCCAACTTTACATATTTCATAGTTTGCTATGGCAATGTTGTCGTCATCAACTAAAACAGCTATAACACCTCCAGACGGCAGACATACTCGCGCATTCCGCTTCAAGCTGCTGCCGTGTTCTACGTGGCCAGCGTTTAACCAATAGTGTCTCTGCAACAAATTGATGCCATGCCACATGCATTTGTTTCTGTGTGAAGTCAAGAAAGGGGTCTAACTCTGTGCCACCGCATATCTATGTATGTGTTATAAAATAATGAGAACATATATTCAAGTCCTGATTGGGAGGTAATAGCTGATTCAGATCGAGTTTGAAACCATGTGATAGGGCCTGATTTCCGATCACATGATCGGATCTGGATATCCCTATTTTAAATATACCTTGGGCTAATCAACTTGCTGCTTAATTAATTAAAGTTAGTTAGTTTTGTACCAATCAGATGTTATCATATAGAGACTTCTTGCAAAGTATTTTACAAGTATTTTACAGTATTTTAAAACTATTAAATACAAGACACTAAAGCAGGGGTCACAAATCTCGGTCCTGGAGGGCCGGTGTCCTTGCAAGGTTTAGCTCCAACTTGCCTCAACACACCTGCCTGGATGTTTCAAGTATACCTAGTAAGACCTTGACTAGCTTGTTCAGGTTTGTTTGAATAGGGTTGGAGCTAAAATCTGCAGGACACCAGCCCTCCAGGAACAAGTTTGGTGATGACTGCACTAAAGTATTTTGATAAAAAATATTAAGTCATTTTCATCAACCCTATTAAATACAAATTACAAAATAATATTTTGTATTTTAAATATATATATGAAATACTTGTATCATAAATGTTGCCTATCCTTGAATGAATGCACATTTTTTTGCCCCTAGTAGATTTAGTACATGCTTGATTGGAGATATCTTCATTAGATTGATTTTTTTGAGCTGTCAGCCATGATACTTAGAGAATGACTTGTATGTTTTGAAGTCCCAGTGTGTTGGCAAAACAGGCTGACGAGCATACAAGTTTTTAAAAATGTGTTTAACAAATCCTCTATTTCTTCCACTGTGCAACATGGCTTCAAACAAGTGGAAACTCTACATGCAGGATTCAGGCAAGGTGGATTTTTAAAATATTTTTTTTCTACCAAAAATTAATTCCCCAATCTAATCCTCTTGTCGGTTAGCTTTGCCTTCGTTTACAGGGCCTGCAAACGATAGAAGAGAAACAAGAACAAGGGATTTTAATTATAAAGCCGTTCCTCTCTTTCCACTGAGAATTTAATTATTTTGGAGTGCTTGGAGATTTCAGGATGATTCAATTTGGATTGTATTTGCTATTTGAAGTGGCTGGTCGGGAGCTGTGGTTTTTCTCCAATCAGCTGGAGTCTCTTTCTGCATTTGTAGTGCTGAAACTCAGACCTTGGACAATCGTGGTTAAACTCACAACATATTGAATTTCCTCCTTAAAGATAACCCAGCATTTTTCCTTCAGATAGATTAAGAATGATGCTCCTGATTTGAATTATGCAGGTGCACCAAAGTCTTTTGAAAGCAATAAAGGTGTTTTACAGAAATCAAGGCTTTTGAATAGGAATATGGTTAAGCTATGGCTGCATGATATTGGAAAAAAAACATTGCTATATATTTTTTTCTATGATACTTTTGAAATCAAGCATACTTTCACCAGATGAAATAAATGTCTCTATTTGGATGAATTCATGACTTAATAAAAAAAAGTTTATAATTTTACATTTATTGGGATGATTTTGCAGGGGAATGCATCTGCATAATATAATAAAACAACTACAAGCATTGATTATTACAGATACAAATAAAAGTTCAGGCAAAGATGTAATAGTCAAATGTAAAACAACAGTTCATTGTGAGTGAGTGAGTGAGTGAGTGAGTGAGTGAGTGAGTGAGTGAGTGAGTGAGTGAGTGAGTGAGTGAGTGAGTGCAACACTATGTTGCAAGTTGGTAAGTATTTTTTTAAATGTAAAAACATAGTCTAGCCCACTTAATGACACTAAAGCTCGGTTTATACTTCTGCGTCAAGTGACCAGCATAATCCATGGCGCATGCAACGCGCATAGCTGTGCATTTATACTTTTGCGTGCTGTCTCTATTGGTCTGCATTAACACTTCCGAAACGCTAGTTGGCAGTGAGGTGTTAATGTTCCTCTGTGTCGAGTTTCTTCGCTGGTGTTTTGCTTTTCCTGAACACTTCCTGAATGTACAAGTGGCTCAAACTCGCTCATTTGGAGGCAGAACCCGGGGAACGTGCAACAACTTTAACTATGAGGTAAACACAAAACAAAACTTTCCATCTAGAGCTCCTTTACGGGACTCCACACTTTTAAACAATCGCTCCATCGGGCTCACGCCATTCGCGCGGCTCTCGGTCCCACCCAGAAACATCAGCGATACCAAGCCGACCAATCACAGAGCTTGCACTATGCGTCGTTGCGACGTGTAGTTACATTTTTTGAGAGGTGCTCGTCAGCGACGCCAACGGCCACGGTGTAGGGCTTTAAGCCTCATTCACTCTACGAGTGATGCGCAGCGACAAGCGACCTTTCATTTTAACGGAGATTGAGTAACTTTCGGACGACTTCAGTTTACGTGAACGGCAGTGATCATTGCAACCAGGTGGACGTGTTGAGTGCCACGACAAAGACATTGAGAATACTTGAACTTTATGCAAATAAAGAGCCACTTTCTTGAATGACAGCCAATTGGAGAACCAGTCGAGCTCACATGATCATCTCTCAGCTTCTGCAGAGACCGGTTGTATTCTTTGGCCTGTAGACTTTCATAAACCTGCAATTGCAACGATTGCCACCCAGAGCAACAGGAAGTTATAAAATCGCTGCTAGTGTGAATGAGGCATAATTAACACTCACTAACCCTAGTATATCCCAAGTGCAGGTGAATTATAAACCAGTCTATGAGTTGCACCGAATTCGCTTTTTGCGTTAAGATACGCCTTTATTAAATGATTTATTAACGACCATGAGCAATTTGAGGGCTGCATGTCTCGTGTTTTTAACTGGCCACTGCGTCTCGAATTTTTGCTGTTATGCGCTATTAGCTCACATTTAAGTCAACTCAGACTGGAAAAATCATTTTACATCAGTCGCGACTTTTCATTCTCCAATCAAATGAAAGCAGAGGCAGGGTCTTCCGTTAAGGTGACTGCAGTTTTTGTCTTGTCAAGACATGTAGAAGAGAATTGTGGCTGCTGTTTTTAGTTATCCGGTGCTGACTCACAAATCTTGAATTTCACAATATTATTACATATTAAAATTCAGTCGTTGCCTAGCAACATAAGTGTTTTTTTTTCTTGTTCAGCCCCTTACTCTCCTGAAACTTCAGACTGCCGCTTCACTCAAGCATGCCACCAACCAATAAACTTTGAAAACATGTAGTTTTGCACAAAATGTTTTGCATAAAGTTTATTTCAAAAGTGAATCTGCTAGACAGAACAGGCAGTGATGTATTAGTGTTTTCGAAATTTCCCTTTTCATGCTCAAATAAGGTTCTTTTCACACCACCTTGACTAGCTTGATGGATGGACATTACTTTAAATGTGGGAAACGTCCTGGAGTTTCTCTCTCACTCATATACTCGCCTGCTCCTGCCCTCCTTCATCTCTAAGTCTCTCCATCTCTTGTCTTCTGACATTCAGGCCTGCTTGTTTACCCCCTGTCCGTGTTCTTGACGAATAATTGCCTCTCAGTGAAGCCTTTCCTGTTGGCGCTGCTCCTTCGTCTCGCCTGGTAATTGAAACTATAGATTCTGGCATAGGCTCC